GTGTTTCGGCGTCTACGGCAGTAATTAACGTCTCTAATATTTATTTTGCGAATTTTGTGAACTCATTTTCTAACATTTTATATTTTGCATAATGAAACATTCCTACATGTCTTAAAAAAAGAGATTGTTTCTTCTTATTAGAAGACAGGAGAGGTAAGCCTGCTGTATGCACACACACAGAGTGTTCCTAAATGACATGTAAATATTTAACATTACACCACAATAACTGGTGTAATGTGTGTTTTTTAAATGAGTTATAACGGAGTTTTGTTCACAAAGGAGCATGACATTTTCTTGATATTTTTTAGTATTTCAATCGCCTTAACCTGAAAAATAAATATATCTGCACAAGAGTCAAATAAATCAGGACTGTTGTATTAATTTATGTTATTATTTTGAGGTTAGCCTTGAGTCTATAAAAATATACTTATTTCCAATCGAGGTGTTTTTCACCGATAATTTTCATTCATTTATTCCTATTATAGGCAAAATTTATAAATACTATTGACTAGAAATTTCTGAGACTTAAATTACTCAGTAACTTTTCAGGGTGAACTTTTCAGTTTGTTCTTTTTACATTCGAGCAAATTATTTGTTGATCTAGATATATTTATTTCCCTTAAATTGATGTATGTAGCCGTTACTACATGGTGGGAGATCATCATGAAAAATGAGAAATGAAACATAGAAAGTTTTATTTCTCATTTATTTTCCTTGTGCTAAAAATCGTACGTTAAAAGATGATACCTTGCACTTTAGCTTGCAAAAATTTCGACTTCTGAGTATTGTTCGTAGGGAGGCGACAGCTGGTTGCAATGGCAGATCTGGGGGGGAACAGGGGCTGACGCAAGTCATTTCATTCATTACAAACTCAGGTACACATAAAACATTAATGAGATAGGTAAAACTCGGATAATTGAAATTTAGGTACTTCAAATTGTAAAATATAAATAATATGTAGAATTGTGGAATCTCTGCCTTAGATCAAATTATTATGCACTTAAATTGCCCATTGATGTATGAAATAGATAGATCTGGTTGTAATGCCCACTATTGGGTTCTTGTCATTGTCTAATCAATTTTCCACCAACTCTTTGGAGCATTCATTTTGTTGAATATCCCTCTTGATGAGGTTCAGTTCTTTATTGAATTTTTTTGGTGTTGCACATACCGTCAATTTAGGTGTTAAGGATTCCCCTCTTTGAAAAAATGATGGTGGTACTGTCTTATAAGAAATTACTTCCTGTAAACACGTTTCCCATTAGTTAGGCCTCCTTACTTTCACGTTGATTTTGGAATTCGATTTTCATTGTGAATTTTGTGAAAGATGTTTTGGAGTCTTTCACTCATTTGAAGAAACAAATAAATATGAGTTACTTTATCTTGTTTTAATTTAGATGGTTGTAATTGCATATGTTATATAGAATCTAAAAAATAAATTTTGCTATGAATGTTGTTCTACAGCTCACGAATTTGGTACGCTTTTAAGAGATTACTTATTTTCATCACTAGGAGTTGTAGTTCAATACAAATGACAATAATTGATAAACCGAGAGGTACAATCT